AGGTCGCTTCACGGTTTGGGCAAATGGTGAGGAAATTCAGGACCGATTAATTTTGAGTCCCTTCGGTAATCGCGTTTACCATTTTCGTAAGTCAGTTTCGTTTAATGTAAAAGGGCCGCAAAAGCCTGAAACTAAGCCTGGAAGTTTCCAACCAAGAAAATAGGCGATTGCCTTTTCAGACGTTCGTTTGTGTCAGGAATTTTCTACTGAAACGTCGAAAGCAACCCGAAACTGAGTTTATGGTAAGCCTGGCAAAGCACCAAAGAGTCCTCTTAGTTTGTTTTAATGGGTCATAGTCATGCAGTAGCTTCATGATTCATACACGTTGTCATACAAGTATATGCTCCTCTTGGGGCATCCATGTAGCTTTTTTTTTCAGTTTTGAGAGCCCGCAAGGGTAAAAACTTCGAAAAGAACTATTGCACCAATACTTAGTCTAAAATATTTTTTTCTTTAAAATTGCTTCAAGGAAATTAGTTTTTATAAACCAAATGGCATTGATTGGCAATGATTTAATTCGCAAATATCTCTCAATGCAAAAATTCATTCAGTAATCAGTTTTAGTTTTTAGATTTTGTTCTATTTATATACCATTTTTTTAGGGAAATCGCCAGTCCGAAACTGAACATGAAAGTGTGTGGCGCTATCCCAGGGACCCTAAATGTTGTATCTGAAGAAAATGCTGCAATCAATGAGAATAATAGGTTTACTGAAAGATTTAATTTCGAACTGGCTTTTAATCTGCCTTTAAGTAAATTGTTTAAAGCATATCTATCGGTAACACTGGCGTGACGGGCTGTGTCACGCTATTTTTAACCACTGGAATGTCGCGTTTTTTTTGCAAAATTAGGGTTGAACTCAACGTCTTGCGGGCTACTTAAAATCGTTTGCCCAGAGATTTGTTTCGATTTTCTGATAGACTGGGGCCTAGTTAAGCCGTAGAAAGTCAATTTGCGAAATTCTAAGTTATAGCGCATTGTAAAAATTTACATTATTTTAACCCTATAATTTTGAACGGTAGAAATTGTCAATACGGCCTATTTTTAACAATACCTTTTTGACCACAAACTTATTACAGCTTTCATAAATTTATCGCCTTATAATAAAGAAAGGGTCATAAAAACTATTCGTGTTCTTCAAAGGCTGCCAAATCGTTGTGGTTTGACGTACGAGTCAATTGAATTTGTGTAAAATTTCGCTTTACCGGAAGTGGATTTTGACCTCTGAACGGGCAAAATGCGTTTTATCGAATTTTAACAAAAGAACACGTTATTTGGGAAAACTAACTACGGCATGTTTCATTACTCATTAAGGGTTATCGATGAGCCAAATATGAGCGAAATCAAATTTTCAACTTGTGCCGACCGTGGGTCGATATTTACGGAAAGCCACTCTTAACTTTTTAAAATTTCTAAGGCCGTGACTATTGGGTAATACTTCACCTTGTTCTGGTTGGCGGTGTGTGCTGCAGACCCCTGCTGTTCCTTCGGCTTTTTGCCCATAAAAAACGAATGCTGAGGACATTCGTCTTCGCTGCTCCACACTTTATTTGTCTGCCAAGAGAACGGAATGAACAAATGACAAGCATCTTGTAAACCACAAAAATTGTTGGATTAGAAACCACTAATAGGCCCTTTGTAGCTAGCCATTCACGTGGTACAAAACAAAACCGCCGTGCTAGAGAGAAAAAGTCGCCCTGGGACAAGACAACAAAGGAAATTACTATTTAAAATTAGGTATGTCTTTTGTTTGTCTTGTCCCAGTGCGACTTTTGCTCTCCAGCACGGCGGTTTTTTACCACGTAAATGGCTGGCTGCAAAGAGCCTATTGGTTCTGCAGAAATTTCAAACTACTAATGCTGAAGCCATTGCTTAAGCCATTTTTACAGCCAGATTTAAGTCCAGGTTTTGCCCTGTTGTAAATTTAAGAAAATTTTCAACGAATCTTCTTTTTCTCGCACATCAGCTATAGCTAGGATCCCACGAAGGCGATGGCAACAAGAACGTAAAAAAAACAATAGGTTCAGTGATTAGCGAAATAACAACACTGCACATGCATCACGTTTTTTTTTTTTACATTTCTTTGCCTTCACAGCACGACTACGACGTCAAAATGCAAAATTTAACGTGTTGTAGAGCACGTAAGCAAGAAACGGCGAAATGTTTTCTCTATCGTAACTTGAATAAGGTTCTTAGGAGTTTAACTTTAAGAAGAGTTCTACTTTTACCAATGTAAGAGAATTGGAATAATTAATTGGCAGCTTTGACTTTCTCGCTTACAATATAATTCTTTAGCTCAATAGCACTAGTAAATTGTGGAATATGTCTTCAAAGGAAACTTTCTTTCACCGCTTTCTTATTTTCCGTTAGGATTTTGAGACAGATGTTTATTGTCTCCATTTCGCGTGCTACTGCAGCTACTGCGCACAGGAATACACGAAGTTAAGGTCTCGGTAAAGGAAAACGAGGTGCCCACAGAAAAAAATTCTAGTCGCGCGAGTATTGTCGCTACATAGGCAAGTTATATATCAAATTAAAGCTAAAAGACTAAATTACCTTATAAAAGATTCTATTTCATCGAATTTCAAAAGGCGCTTAAGTTTTTTGCTCTCGAACTCAGAGGTATCAAGTTTACTGCTGAAGCTCCAGCCCTTTCGCGTTGTTAAATATTCACTTCCTTTTTATTGCATCTGATTGACAGATAAAAGACCTAAAAAAGGGTGTGAGGAAATGTGCATATGTTTCGTATTAGCGGAATTATTGCATTTCAAACTAAAAAGTCGAATCTCGAGCGCGATTTACGCAAAGAAACTGACATAAAATGAGTTACAAAGGGAAATCGGAAAATTCCTCACACACTTTTTGATAAGCGATAGCTTAAAACCTGTCCCGACTGGAGGTCGGAGAATTTTGATTTTTGCGCCTAAAATAGAGTGAGAGAAAATCAGCTCTAAAGATTTAGCGCGAGGTCCACGCTTGGCTGGTAAGCTCAGAAAAGGCTCATTTTAGAAGGGTTAAAAAGCACTTTCTGGTTTTCTTTTTCTGCCAAAATAAAATATAGGACCCACTCATGCCCAAAATAAAAAAAAACAAAATCGAGCAATGTACTAAAATTTTCATTTACCGAGACCTTAAACTTCCCGCCTACAAAGAGATCTACCACCGGTAACTCAGGCTCTCTGATAGTACCACAGTACGGTTCCATTAAAATTACGGTGTTTGTATGAGGTAAAAATATGATCCTAAAATTTGTAGGAAATACCAAAAATAGGTCAATGAAACTTACTCTGCAGTTAGTTGTTGTTGTCCTTAATGCTCCAACAAGTTTCGTGATACTTTCTTCAAATTATATCAATCAGGGCACGCCTTAGGTACCGAATAAGCTCCTCACGAGGTGAGCAAGATGGAAAGTCTCGTTCGAATACCATTTCGGTTTGCTTGCAGTATGTACTAAATAATGTTTAAGATCCAGGCCTGGATCCTGAATAAACTTATCACGTGATGCCCTTTCTGCAAACTGCCTTTTTTGCGATGCCTTTTTGCGTTATGCCTCTTTGCGTAGGGCCTTTTTGCGTGTTGGCTCTTTGCGTGTTACTCTTAAAAGATACCAGCAAGAGCTTAGTAAGAACTTAAAGAGGATAACTTAATACATATGCACAAAATCTGATTATCATTTGCATGAGTGTGGTGGATACCTTGAAGATGAAGAGCCGGATGAAGGCTAGTGTGTTGATGTTGACAATTTTGAGAATGTTGTGGTTACTGCCGACTCAGACTTCGAGTAACCAGGGACCAGTGGACACTCCTCTGAAAAACACGGCTATGTTAAAGATCATGAAGAACCTAACAGTGCTCAGATAAGAACTGACCATGACATGGCTCTGGCGTTGCACAAAAGCATCAACAATGAAGATGATGAGGAGGGGGACCTATGTCCCATAGTACCTACCCCAAATGATGCTGGGTCTTACCCTGCTGTGTCTGACCCCACATCAGTCGTGAAATGCCTCCAAAATAACGTCATCGACGATTGTCACCTGTTTTTTACAATGAGAAGAGAGATAATTCTAAGTTGGGTGATGCAGTTATGGCAGCGAAAAAAAGAACCGAAAAAAAGCCTGTGGAGTACAAACTTTCCATTAAGTACTTAGGGGAAGAAGGTATAGACACCGGTGCATTGTCTAGAGAATTTTTGGCTGTGATTAGTGATATTGCTAAGATTGTGTTCCCAAATGGAAGTCCAGTACATTCAACACTGTTCATTCAGGATGGGAATTTCCGAGCAGTAGGAGAGATTGTTCAAGCCAGTCTCGCATAAAGTGGACCTCCACCATGCTTCTTGGAAGAGTCAACTTACAATATGTTAGTGTATCCAAGTGTTGACCTCAGAAGTCTTGATAAAGAACGTCACCTGAAACCAATAGAGAGAGAACAGATTGACAAAATCAAAGGTGATCTTGATAATTATCGTGACATCATTATTGATCACGGATATACTGGCCCAATCAAGAAGGATATGATGGATGACATCATTGGCTCTATAGTTCTTAGCATTGTCAGCAGAAACTTACTCACCTTGGGTGAGTATGGCCTAAAAGACCTTCTTCTAGACCATCTTGAGTCACGCAGACCCCTTTTTATAATGGAGCACGTTGAAGCTGTTGATGCCAGCTACTTGGCTGGGCTTTTGGAGCCAGAATTTTCTGACATGGGAACCCCAGAGAGAACTGTGGAGGATCAGGTTATAGATAACTTTCAGGACTTTCTTCACAAGCTTGAGGATGAACAGATTTTTGTATTCTGAGGGATTTTAGAAGCGAACAACGAGGAACAAATAAACACACGTGCGTATACCAAGAACATATTTGGCAACTGTTTATTTCACCTTCTTACATCATCTTACATCACGTGACCAGTACTACCCAAAATACCACATTTCCTCCTTCCTATACAGTTTTCATAACAATCAACACAACTTACAAAGAAAAACTATAAATCTAATCAGTCTGGACGATTGATCACTCGTCCTGAAGGCGTAACCACTTGACATGGTCTGGATTCAGAGTGACTAGGCATGACAGGTTTGGTAAACACTTGGTCTGGACTGCGAAGTCCAGAGTTGTTACCCGCTCTCTTCACGTTACTATCATCATCAACAACACGTTCAGCAATAACAATACACTTAGGAGAAATCCCATTGTCTACTTCAAACTGAATTCGTAACCTTGTTTTGGGAATGACAGGTTCCCTCTCAAAATCTGAGTGTGGGTTATGCCCTACCATTTCTGGTGTGAAGATTTCCTTATGGGCACTCATGCCTGTGGCATCATGAGGTATCAAGTGATTAGCATGCACATGGCGACGATCATTACCAGGAACTCGAACTAGGTAGGTATCTGGACCCTTCACAGCCACAATTGTACCCGGTATCCATTTCTCCTTCCCTCCCCTGGTGTTTTTTACTCTAACTGGTTGATACAAATCAAAACTTCGCCCCTTGGGGTGCAGCCCATCCCTGTATAATTTTGAAGCAACTTGTTTCTTTTCTATGTGCCTTTGCAAACTGGGTTTCACCAACGAGAGGTGTGTTCTGGGTTTTCTCTGCAAAAACAGTTGTGCAGGAGTCTTGTCTGTTGTGGTGTGGGGTGTGTTTCTGCAGCGGAAGAGGACATTAGCCACCCTGTGCTGACCTGACCCCTTATCAGTACAAGACTGATAAATGGCCTTGAAGGTCTGCACATGTCTCTCAGCTAAACCATTAGTGGAGGGATGATATGGGGGACATAAAGTGTGCTTGATGCAATTCATCTTTAAAAATGACTTGAACTCTCCAGCAACAAATTGAGGGCCATTGTCGCTGATTAATTCACGTGGCAATCCATATCGAGCAAACAGAGCTCTTAAAGCCTCTATGGTAGCATTTGTTGTATTGCTGGTCATAGGAAAGACTTCCGTCCATTTAGAGTGGCTGTTAACCACAAGACGAAATTGTTGACCCTTCACCTCAGCATAATCAACATTAATTCTTTGCCAAGGTTTAGTCGACCAAGGCCACAATAATAAGGGGCATGATGTGCCTTAGTACAAACATGACAAAGTCTTACTTTGTCCTCTATATCAAGGTCAATATCCGGCCACTACACAAAGGACCTGGCAAGTGCTTTCATACGGCACATCCCTGGATCGCACTCGTTTAACTCTTCGAATAAGCGTTTTTGGAATTTGAAAGGTATGATGACACGTCTGCCCCATGAGAGACATCCGTTTTCAAAGAAATCTCGTCTCTACGATTCCAAAATGGTTTGAGCTCTGGACTTGGGCAACTACCAGGCCAACCAAAGGAGGTACATTCATACACTTTTACAAGCAGGGTATCCTTTTTTGTACCTTCTGCTATCTCTCCTGCTGTGAAGGGTAATTCATCGGCCGTGGTTGCACACACAGTGTTCATCTGGATCCAAATCATCATCAGCCTGAGATTGTATGGGAATCGACTGGAGAAATCTGCATTTGCCTTGCCAGCAGAGTCTGAATACAATGTCAAAATCATATCCAGACGGGAGAACAGCCCAACGTTGCAAACGAGCTGCAGCCAAAGGGGGAATGCTAGATTTAGGACCAAAGATACGAGTCAGGGGTTGATGGTCAGTTGCCAATGTAACTTTCCTGCCATAGAGGTAAAGTTGAAATCTTTCAACACCAAAAACTATGGCTAACCCCTCTTTTTCTGTCTGGGCATCTCGCACACTTAGCAGTGCTGAAAAGAATTTGGTGTCAAATGGTTATCAACCAGTCTTAGGAGGCAAACTCCACCGGCTGCTCACTGCCATCTTCCATGCGATGACTCAACACAACTCCAATCCCATATGGATTGGCATCTACACTCAGGATGATAGGTTTTTGAAGGTCATAATGAACCAAAACCTGCTTAATCGAAAGAACTTCTTTAGCCCATATAAAAGCCGTTTCACATTCTTTGGTCCAAAATCACCCAGTCTTGTTACTGAGAAGCTGATGTAATGGGTGCAATTTGGATGAAAAATCTCAGATGAATTTTGAGTAGTAATTCAGCATTCCTAAAAACGACCTCATCTTGGAGACATCTTTAGGTCTAGGGGCCAATCTAATTGCGTCCAGCTTGCTATTAACAGGACTGATTCCATGTTTACTCAAAATATGGCCCATATACTTCACTTGAGCTTGGAAGAGCTGACGTTTGGCGTCATTTAACTTAACGTTGTGTTTTTCCAGTCTTCTAGACCTGTTTGATAATTCTCATGTGAGTAGTGACTCCTCCTGATGTTGCCACCAGAATGTCATCCACTCTCACCATCTCACCCTTAATACCAGACAGGGTCGAGTCCATGACCCTCTGAAACTGAGACGTTGTAGTTTTTCAACCAAAACACAATCGCTTGGATTTCAATAAACCTTTTCGAGTGTTGATGAGTAACTCAGTTGACTCTTCATCCAAAAATAATTGGTTGAAAGAACTGGCCAAATCAATTGCTGAAAAGGTATCAGGGTTAGCTCCATCCCGAGATAGCATGGCAAACATGTCTTGTACATTAGCTAATTTGTACGCGTCATCCTCTATACACTCATTAATTGCCTTATAATCCCTACACACTCTTATGCAACCGTCAGACTTAGGGACATGCACTACAGGGCCTGTCCATTTCTTACTGGATACCGGATACAAAATATCTGACTGCACAAGTCGATCATACTCTGGACAAAAGGACTAATGAACTAGCGATGGTGGTGAAAGACATTCGTGCGTTAAGGGACTCATTCGAGCCCTGATTGGATGAAGTGTGATGGAAATTTGCATGGACCGAGATTAAAAACTCTAGTGTTAAAAAATATAAGTGAGAACAGTTTAGAACTTGAAAGGACTTGGACAGAGAGACAATTTTCGTTTATTCGATTAATAGTTTTTGAATTCGCTTGGTAGTTTTTTTGTGAATTTGAATTCGGTCAAATTGTGAAATTCGTAGCTAAGAGTTTGTGTACAATTTTTGAATATAGTTCAATCTGGTGAACATACTCAACAGAAAGAAAAATGTACCAACAGAAAAAATCAGACTGATCGAAGGTATTTGTAAACACCAGAGTACTTCTAGTAGACTTGTTCATGCAATTCTGCAAATTTAGCCGACCAGTTTCGTTCGATCCTTGTGTGTCATCGAAGAGAAATATTTAACATCAAAACTACAAAGTTGTTAAAAGCGAAGACTTTTCTCCTGCATGTGCCTGACAAGTATGCCGAGCAGGCGTAGGCTAAGTACACGATTTCGCGGGCAAATGTTTCAATGACTATACTCGGTACGTAGAGTTCTATTATAGAGTTGTTATAGCACGAAGAGTTGTATTATGGAGAATAAGTGAGTCATATTATTAACAAAATCGTTATGAAGAAAGATGCAGTTTCGAAAGTGATGCATTTTCGTTTTGTTTTTATTTTGTTTTGCTAACCTGATAAATTATGGGATTCCTTCGGGTTTAGGGGCCCCATTTTCACTGACAACTCTTCTCGAACAATTCTCTCCTGCACGATTCAGACAGGTATGGACCCCCGGAGGGGGAGTACTTGGGTTAGTTTTTGCTGGGTATGTGCTGCTGGCCTCTGAGAACCCCTGCCCCATTATAGTCTTTTCTGTGGTCAATTATAGACCCCATCTTAGTCACTTTTGGGCAAATATGTAATTTTCGCTATCCCAACTGAGTCACTTTCAATTTTTATGAGTTGAACCACTTTTTAGATTGAATGAAGAACACTTTACTTTTCATGTACAGTACAAACACTCTGGTACGTTTGCTAACCGTAAATGTGAAGAACTGTCTTACCCCAAGTAATCCGAAAATGTGCGACCCCATTCTAGTAACTCCATTGAAAATGCGACCCTATTATAGTCAGTCCAATCGTGAATATGCGACCCTATTATAGTCAGTCCAATCGTGAATATGCGACCCCATCCAGCGGCACATCCCCATTAGCCTCTTATAAGTACCCCCCGGGGGTACGGCGAACAGTTGAGTTTGCAGGTGCTTTATAAAGGCACACAAAAACCTTTACAACGCATTGCTTATTTACCATCTTCAATTATAAATCAAATTCGACCACGGTAATATGCTTGAGATCTAAATAATTATCGACCTATTTCAGTAATTTCCGTTATAGCTAAAGTTTTCGAAAGGATTGCTTATGACCGACTGTATAATTTTTTGAGAAATGAAGATATCATTTTTACGCACCAATGGGGCTTTTTCGCTCTTTACAATCAACTGTAACTGCTCTCCTTGAAGCTACTGATAACTGGGCTTTTAATATCGATCGAGGTAATGTTAATGCTGTGTTTTTTCTTGATTTAAAAAAGGCCTTTGACACTGTTGATCATGATATCCTTTCATCTAAAATGAACCTTTACAGAATACAAGGAATTGCTCTCGATTGGTTTAGATCGTATTTGACAAATCGTACTCAATGATGTCTCGTTAATGGTTCCCTTTCTAGAATGTGTTCATTTAAATGCGGGGTACCTCAGGGAACAATTCTTGGTCCCCTTTTATTTCTTACTTACATCAACGATTTGCCAACGATTTGATTTTGTTCCAACGGCTACTCTGCATTGTATAGACAACGCTCTCATTCAATCTCAATTCGATTATTGTAATATTGTCTGGGATAATTGTGGAAAACTTTATTGACAGGCTACAGAAGCTTCAGAACCGTGCTGCTCGTGTTCTAACCTTTTCTAGATATGATGCTGATGCCAACCGCTTATTTAGACAACTAAATTGGAAAGACTTGAGCACTCAGTTTCAAAAGCAAAAAGCCCTAATGGTTTACAAGTCTTTAAACGATCTTGTTCCAGGATATTTATCCTCTAAATTTGTTAAACGATATGAAACGCGATACTCCCTTAGGGAAGTAATTGTCTCGTTCCCGCGAACTAACTTGATGAAGAACAGCTTCAGTTACAGGGAAGCAGTTCTTTGGAACAGTCTGCCCTGTGATATGAGAGAGGCTAAATCTTTAAGTCAATTTAAACGATTGGCTCATCTAAATTTCTGATTTTTAAAGTACTGTGTACACGACATTCATGAAAAACAGGTCTTTGTTAGGTTAGTTGTAGACAGTTTTGCATATTGTTTAGGGTAGTTAGGTTTATTTCAATTTTTTTATGTTCCTGATGAATTTTACCGTGTTTAAATAAAGAATGATTCTATTCTTATTCTATTTTATATTTGGAAAACCATTCTTGTCATACAGACCGTATCACCGAGCCCCCCACCCCACCACAATCACACCCTTTTGAGAAGCTATTGATCATGATTAGCCTCCAAATTTCATGTTTTATTCAATCTGGTTTTGTTCACAGAATCGTTACCTGCAACGGCGAACAGACGAGTTGCAGGTAAATTCCTTTGCATAAGAAAATCACAAAAGTAGCGCGATGGATTCTGGCCTACAATTGGGCACAAAAATATCAAAGACAAGAATTCGAATGAGTTGCAGAACTGCTTCGTTAAGTGTAGCATTCCAGGGTCTCTCTCGCCCGCCCGCCGCCGTTTTTTCTGACCCGACTGACCGCCCTTGGGTCTCAGATGATGGGTCACCCCAGGACACCCGGGATGGAGTTGATTTGTACATTGCCCAGGCCTCATTTGCTTGGCCGCGCGTTGATCTGGCCCGATCACTTCGTGGAAGCAGTATCGGCCATTTTTGTATTCTTTTCTTCAAGTTTGGTAAAGTATGCTGGATTCTTTCCTTTAGCTGGGAAAGCTTCATTGGTTTCCATATCTAGGGCTGTCCTATTTTGTACGAGCCTAGAGTGTTTACATTGGAGTTCGAATTTCGGGGAAAAAGTGGTGTTAAAAAGGGAGTGATGGTGGCTGAGATGTCATCTCTTGCCATCCACCCTTTTTAAGCTAATTTATACAACAGGATAAATTGAAGTTAATGTGATAACCATAAACCCGCCCTTACCAGTAGTGGAATCAGCTCACTTCCTTT